GTGTTTGTGAGGCTGGGTTTTGGACTATATCTACTGGTAGGTCATTCACTTGTAATTGCAGGTTTCCAGGCAGACTACGAATGGGACGACTTCGGGTATTAGGCTTACTTTGTAGACTGGGCTCTCCAACCTGCTCTCTCACTATGTACCTGTACTGTATAGTCTGTTCCCAATAGGGTCTTAGCTTACCAGGTCCTCCTCTTTTGCTGAGATTACGTACAATCACTCTATCTCCAGGCTGCAAGGTTACTCCTTTGCATTTCTTGTCATAGTTTGCCTTGTCCCTGGAGCTTGACTGTTGACTGTTTGTGCATGCTATTCTGTAAGCCTCTGTCATTTTTTTCTGCCCACTTCTTGGCATATCCTTGTGGTGTTTCATCTCCATCCTCTGTCATAAGGCCAAAGAGAGGATCTACTGGGAGACGATGGTGTCTGCCTTATAACAGGTAATATGGGGAAAAGCCTGTCATCTCATGCTTGGTGCAGTTATAAGCATGGATCATATGGGGCAGGTGGTCTTTCCAATTATGCTTTTCTTTTTCTTCAAGTGTGTGGAGCATTTGCATGAAGGTCCGGTTCAGTCTTTCAGCAGGGTTGCATTGCGGATGTAGGGAGATGTCTGAGAATGACCCACAGCTGCAAGCTGTCTGAAAGATTTAAACAGGTTGTTTTCAAATTCTCTACCTTGATTGTGGTGGAATTTGGAAGGACATACAAACTTGGGAATGAAGTCATTAAAGAGCTGGTCTGCTGCTGTCTTGGTGGCTTTATTCTTGGTGGGATAGGCTTGAGCACACTTGGTGAAGTGATCAACCACTACCAAGATATACTCAAACCCAACTTTTGAAGTCTCTAAATGTAAAAAATCTATGCACACAAGCTCCAGGGGTGAATTGGATGTTATACTACCCATTGGGGCCCTCTCATATAAATGATAAATGGACTGTACTTATATAGCGCCTTTCTATCTTATTGAGACACTCAAAGCACTTTACATTACAATCTGTGCCCTCATTTACCCATTCATACAGCACTCTACTAGATCTATAATCAGTGCTTTATCACATTCATACACCGATGGGACAAACATCGGAGGCAATGAGGGCTCATTGTCTTGCCCAGGGACACTTCGGCATGTGACTGATGGTGGAATCGAACCTCCAAATCTTGCATTGGAGAATGACTGCTCTAACCACTCAGCCACAGCTGCCCCTGTGTATGTGTTGCTGGCGTTTTCTGTTTAATACATGGGCACTTTCTGGTGACATATTCTTTAATCTCTCTTTACATGAAAAGCCAATAAAACTGCGCTTGAGCTAGATTAAGGACTTTCTCCACTCCAACAGGACCCATATTGTTATGTACAGGTAGGTGTGCTAGAGCTGTCTGCCATTAAGTAGCTGGTAGGACAAGTTGTTTATGTTCTGTTGTCTTTCTGTACAGGAGGTCATTGTCTATGTGCAACCTACTCCACTCTCTAAAAAGTATTTTTGTGTTTATGTCAAGATTATCTTTGTTGCCTTCATTTGGTGTAATGTTGTCCTTCGTCATCTTCAGGACTTTTCCAATGACAGGATCTGCTTGCTGTTCCTGAACCAGTTCATCATGGTTGATAGGGAGGAGGGGCTCTTTGACTGGAAAGGACAGTTGTCTTGGCAGAGGTTGTAGGTCAGTTGGCTGAAGGCTGATTAGGGTTACTGGATTGTGGCAGAGGAGGAGGACATGAATGGGTGTGAGAGGGAACTTGGATGGGTGAGGATGGGGAAAAGTGGTGGGAGTTTACAGTTTTAGGTTTCATTATATCGGTCACCATGCTGGTCAAAGTGTCTACTTGGGCAGTGAGTTGTTTGAAAGTTTGAAAGGTTTGGTGTTCCTTAGCTTTCCTTTCTTCAGCTTCAACTGCTACACTTTGTGCATGCATTGTCTTCTGGTGGGATGTTTGGCCTAATCTCCGCTGGTGCTCATTCTCATCTATGCTTATTTTTGTGACTTCACTTAAGATCTCCTTGTTTGTGACATTATTATTCAGGAACAGTGGTCTTAGTCTCTGTCTCATGTCAGCATACCTAACTCCCAGTCCTTGGTAGATTGTGTGGAGGAACACCTCCTGAATGTTTTTTGGGTCATAAGAAATATCTGCATTGGTCTATTTGGACTGGAAGGTTAGGTTTTGCTTGAGTCCACACACACACAAAGGTTCCACTCCTCCACAAAATTAATTAAACAGGACTACCCTCTGTAAAGTTAGCCATCATAAATCCCATATTTATATTACAGAGAAAAACTTAAGTGACAATAAAACTATTATAAAATCATATCAATGTGGTTACATAATTTGGGTGTACCACATTGCCACACTGGAGATACGAAAAGTCAAAAATACCCTTTATTTCAGGTTTTGGCAATAATATAAAATAGAGCTCTGATACAAAGAGTACATGAAATGATGGATGTGCCCACTTGCAATCTTTAAAAATTCAAGAGAACAAACGGTACACTAATGTCCCCTGTTGCTGAGAGATTTGAACAATAAAAGTTTACAGTTGTCAAGATGAGTGGTTTTCTGGACTGAAAGTACACAGGAAGTGCAAGTAGTGGTACAGTGGTACAGTGGTGCAGGGAGTGCAGGGAGTGCAGGAAGTGCAGGAAGTGCAAGGAAACATTAACGTTTTGATGCACCATTCAAGTGGATAGGATTTTTATTTTTTATTTATTTTTTGCTTGTCCTAGATGACGCAGAGTGATGGATCCTGTTAATTGGAAGCAGCAATTTTATCCACGAACAGGTGCAAATGTGGAGCCAGGGGTTGGCCTGTGGCGGCCTTGGCCACCATTCATTTTCTGCCACCCCAATTATTGGGGGAAACTATAAATATAGTATAGTAAATATAACTATAAACTAAACAATATAAAAACTAGAAAGAATTACATTTACACACACACACGCACACACATATGTGTGTGTGTGTGTGTGTGCGTGTGTGTGTGTACTGTATATGGTGGTGGCCATCTTGGATTTTGACTTGGCAACCCAGTACAGTATTTGATAGTGACCTTTACGCCTACATGCAGCCACAAACCAAAATGGAAGTTGGTACTTCACTAACCAGATTATTGAGCATGGACCTTTTTGGTACTTCACTTATTTTCAGTTATTGTGCTCACAACATGCACGGACGATTGGACGGGTATGTTCCACATGTCCATCTTCTCCTTCAACACTCCATCAGTGCCAGAAACACTGAGTAAAAGAAGCAAAAAATGTTAAATTTTTATACATTTTAAATTGTATTCTATTCTAATGATACAATGAGATCTTGTGTGTTTTATATTTTTGTGCTAAAATCAAAGAACAGGAAAAAAATGCAGTTGGAAAGATTATAATCTCTGCTGTCTGTACTCTAACGATTCTTATACGATTGTCACAAAGTCTCATGTGAACTTAAAGCGTGTCTGAAAAATGTTAATGTTATTAGCAACACATTTTTCATGGTTGGCTTTGCTGCATTACAGGGTGTACTGTACAGGGTGTACTGTACAACAGGGTGTATTGTACAGTCTTTAAACCTTGACCCAAATATTTTACACAGTTTTACTTATTACAATCAGGTGGACTCAGATGTATGAGCCGTTTGTACATCCAATAATTACTTTCCGAGTGTTTCATTAAGCTTCATCCTGAGAGTCACAGAACATTTTACTCAAACAGAATATAATGAAACCTACCATTACTGACAAAGTTTAAAGTAAAATTATTGCATAAATTGTAGCTGTTAAAATATGTATTGAAGATAATGCTCAACTTGAACCGCATCAGCTCATTATCAATAAAATTAACTGAGTTACTGACATTCTGTGTTTTCTAAAGTCAGTTGGGAATGATGTCCATCTTAAATGGGACTACACTACCCCAAAATATAATCAGTTATAAATGCACACTGGATGATTATTTGATGAAAACTTCATCAGGGGTGACATATTTTAAGGTTTGTGGGTTTTTTTTTTTGACTTCACAAAGACAAAGTTGGCTCCAATATTTAATGACAGAATTTAGAACCAGATCATACTCAGTCGTGCTCAGTGTATTGGGGATAAGTCTTGGTTACTTCCACACCAAATTTGAGCTCAATATCAGTAAAATTTGATCAATATCCAATTCACACTGTGTAATTCAAACATGTATGGGAACAAGTCACATCAGTACTGCCATCTTAATATGAGGGTGATGGGTTCATACTGTAGCTTGTTTCTCTTCTATAGTAGTTATTACACTCATCTACAGCTGTAAAATGTGTTTACATCCATCCATTATCTTTACCCGCTTCTTTCATTTTTGTGTCACGGGGTCGCCGGTGCCCATGCCCAGCTATCACTGTGCGAGGGGCGGGGTACACCCTGGACAGGTCGCAAGTCCATCACAGGGACACACAGAGACAAACAACCATTCTCACTCACACCTAAGAACAATTGGGGGTTACCAATCATCCTAACATGCATGTTTTTGGTCTGTGGGAGGAAACCGGAGTACCCGGAGAAAACCCACGCATGCACGGAGAGAACATGCAAACTCCACCCAGAAAGGCCCCCAGACTGGGATTTGAACCAAGGACCTGCTCGCTCTACCAGTTGTGTCACCGTGCTGCCCATGTGTTTACATATGTTTAGCAAAATTTATGAAAAGGATAAAATATGTTGTTTAAGCAGGGAGGATGTGATTTTTGGGTGCAGCCACAGTCTGTGCACTAAGAATGTGGGCCTTTTTTTAATTATTAAAAAAAAAAAAACGCTTTAGAAAAATGAATATTTGAACATGGAGCATTAAGGTGAGAATTATGTGTAGCAACAAGAGACAACACCTGAAAGAATTTAGGTCAATTTTTACTTTTAATAAGTTGTGTTTTTTTTTGTTTTTTTTTCGTTTACTTTGAAGGGGAGAGAGTAACGCTTCCGGTTTTAACATTCGGGTTTCCGTCGGATAGTCTGCTGAGTCACGTGACGGCACACACAGCAGAGAAAGAGGGAGGAGCGAGGTGTCCTAGCGGAGCGGAAGAGAGAGACGACGATAGAGATATTTTCATCTACTGTCATCGTCTATGGCTGGAACAAGACGGTAAACTAAAGTATCGATCTAACAACGTCTGCATTGGCGCTGCAGCAACGTTAGTATCGATACGAGTCGATACTCGGATCGATCCGCCCTGGTTGCTAAGGCCGCAGCGAGGCTAGAGATGGGCCGGAAGAAGAGGAGCATAGTGTGGACGTATTTTACGTGCGTAAATGAAAATGAAGCAAAGTGCAGCCTGTGCAGTAAGTGTATCCGTTACTGTGGCAACACCACCAATTTATTCAAACACATGAAAAACCACAAGGAAGAGAGCAACTTACTAAAGCAACGGAAACGAGAGGGAGCCCCCCCAGGACAACCAGTTCAGAGCCAGATCACATGGGCACACCTCCTGCAGGCAGGAGAGGAGTATGGAGGTAGCTCAAACTTTTCTTTTAGTGCATCTTTTAGTTCATTTTACTTTTCATGCAGAAATTATGCCATTTATAACCATAAGAAGTGGAGACTGTTTACTTCTTTGTAAATGAATAAACTTCCAAACCAGCAGAGGATGACAGAATTATTTACCCCCACCACAGAATAAAATGCTTTTTGTTTTTCATTCAACCTTTATTTATACAAGTTAAGTCTCATTGAGCCTCAAGGACCCATTTACAAGAGAGACCAGTTTTAAACAAAGAATGATGTCAACAATGGACAATCATAAAAGAAAGCAAACTAATTGAAAAAAAAAACGGCTACAATGTAAGTGATGTAGAAAACTAAAAACAGGAACGTGTCTGTGTTGGTCTTAGCCAGGAACTTAACAGATGTTTGAAGCCACTTAGAGAGGTCAAGGTTGAGAGCGTCAGGTCTTTTTGCAAAATATTCCAGGAAACAGGAGCGGAGTAGGAGAAGGCCCTTTTGCCAAGTTCAGTCCTCACTGAGGGAACACTGCAGGTAATAATGTCCTGAGAGCGCACGCTGTAACTGCACTCACGCAGAGACATGTAGGAGGAGATGTATGAAGGCAGCAGACCAAGAAGTGATTTAAAGATGAAAATGTACCAGAGAGAGTCTGCGTGAAGTTAATGATGTCCAGTTAACCAGTGAATACTGGGTGCAGTGGTGGGTACAGTATTTACAGCCAGTTATGAATCTTAGTGCACCATGATAGACAGCATCCAACATCTGCAGGGTTCTTGTAGGAGCGTTCATGTAAATAATGTCACTGTAATCAATGGAGGGAAGGAAAGTCGTAGTTACAAGGCGTTTTCTAGCTTTCAGGGTTAGACAGGATCTATTTCTGAAAAAGAAACCCAGTTTAACTTTCAGATTCTTTACCAAGTTTTCCACATGAATCTTAAAAGAGAGACGCGAGTCGACCAAGATACCCAAATATTTATAGGAATCAACAAACTCAATGGGGACATCGTTTGAGGATAAAATCAGAGGAAGAACTATTGGGACCGACTTCCTGTTTGAAAAAAGCATCCCTTTGGTTTTATCGGCATTTAGGACAAGTTTAAAGTGGAACTAATCAGACCGGATGATGTCAAAAGCAGACTGTAAAAGCTGGAAAACTTTTAGCAACGGTTTTCGCTTGACAGTAAACAACTGTGTCATTACCATAGAAATGTAAGGATGCATCAGGGCTGATCTGACCTACATCACCTAGATTGTGAAGAAGGTGGGTCCTAAGATTGAGCCTTGTGGTACACCATTGTTAATAGATAACTAGAAGAAGTACCATTATGTTGAGCACATTGCCTCCGATCTGAGAGATAGTTACGAGAACCAACCAATGTTGTGCACTGAGAAACTAATTTCTGAGAGCTTATGACACAAGATGTTATGATCCACAGTGTCAAAAGTTTTAGACAGGTCTAAGAAAAGTGCAGCACAATAATCCTTAGCATCCAGTGCTTCAACAACGTCATTAAGAACCTTCAGTGAAGCAGTCGTGCTGTGTTGTTTCCTGAAACCAGATTGATGGAGAGGTAAGATGTTAAAAGAATCCAAATACATTTTGATTTGAGAGTTTATCAGTTTTTCTAGAATCTTAGCTAAAATACAGAGTTTAGAGATTGGTCAGTAGTTGTTCAGTGAGGTGGGGTCACCTCCCTTCAGTTAAGGAAGAACACAGTGTTTTGGTTTATGGACAGGTTAAAGATGTGAGCAGCCAGCCCTAAGAAATAAGGTGGAAGTTCATCTGGTCCTGCAGATTTTTTTAAATGTAGACCTTTGAACAACTTATTAACCTCACTAACTGAAAACGATGAAAAAGAAAAGGTGTGGTTTACTGAGGATGGACTTGTAGAAGAGAGTTGATTTGTAGATGTTTGGATTAAAGGAAAAGTATCTGCTTTTCCATTAGTAACTGTGGCAAACAAGGAACTAGAAGCTTTTAGTTTTGATACATATTTTTGAAGCCCAAATATAAATGTGAGTCGCCTTGAAGTCCGGGTTAGTTCAGAGAACATCCCGCAGGGTGATGAGGCTTGAAGCGTGGCAGACATGTGAGCTGGATTTACGCCCCGCTTTGACCCAATCATCGGGAGTCACGGGGGCTTTAAATGCCCTCACTTTGGCATCTTCTCCTCATTTCTCCTCTCTCCCTCCCCTGCTGGTCATGGCTGAAGCCCCGGTGGAAGTGACGGTGGAAGCAGCGGAGCGCATCGGATACATCACCCGAGTTCAGAGCTTCAGCGCCTGCCACCGCCTCCACAGGTACCCCACACCCCCGTTCCTCCCAAAACCAGGGGATTTACGGTCCAAACGGGTTAGTGCTGCATGCCGAACAGAGCCTACTGTCACCACGCAGCTGGGCTTCAGTTTTGACAGCGCACTGTCGTCATTTTAATCGTTCCCGAGAAGAAACGAGCAAAATTTGAAGTTTATTACAGGAAGTTTCGCGTTGCCTTCAGGTACACGCGCCTCTTAATTATCCGAACACGTCAAGAGCATAATTATAAATGTACCCGTGCTCCTATCTTATGCTTTTATGTAAACTGAACTTGTAGTTGCTGTCTAAAACTTCTGGGAATTGTAGTTTTTTGACGCCCTCTCGGACAACACGTCAATATGTCCGCCATCTTGGGTGGGTAGAAGCGAGTGGGGCCAGACCGGAAGTTCCTTTGTTTTCACATTAACGTCGAAATGTTGAGAATCAAGTCAACAGTTTATTGACAGAAAAACCTGAAAGAATACCTTTTTATTTAGATTAAAATGTATGTTTCATATTAAAAAGTCAACATTTTATTGACAGAACTAAAGTCTAATGTTCTTAAGGAAATTTTACTTTTTTAACAGTAAAAAAAAAAAAAAAAGTAATTGCTTAAAAAATGGATAAAAAAATATTAGGGAAAAAATAAGATTTTATTTACAGAAAAAAGTCTAAATAATATTCCCATAAAACGGCTACATATTATTGCCCCCTAAAAGGTCAACAATTTTTTTTATGGAACTCATTTTATTTAGTTACAGATTTAAAAAAAAATGTCACTCTCAGAACTCTCTCTCTTTTAATACCAAGCCGGTGGAGTTGAACCTGATTGTGCTCTTAAACAGAACTGCATTTGTTCCTTTTTTTAAAAATGAATTATTATCATCCATCCATCCATTATCTTTACCCGCTTCTTCCTTTTCGTGTCACGGGGGGGTCACTGGTGCCCAAGTCCAGCAGTCACTGTGTGAGAGGCGAGGGACACCCTGGACATGTCTCCAGTCCATCACAGGGACACGTAGAGATAAACGAGACAAACAACCATTCACTCTCTCACACCTTGACACAACTTAGAGTTACCAATCAGTCTAACATGCATGTTTTTCGTCTGCGGGAGGAAACGAGTACCTGGATAAAACCCACACACGCACGGAGAGAACATGCAAACTCCACTCAGAAAGAATCCCGGCTGGGATTCGATCTGGCAACCTTCTCACTGAGAGGCAGCAGCTCTACCAACTGAGCCACTGTGCCGCCCTATTTATTATTAATGTAACAAAATATTATAGGTGCTCTTTTACTGGGTTCAATACAACACATCATGCTGTACTTTATTTTGGAGCTCCTTTAGAGATGGGGTGAGAGCTCCTCCACATCGACAGGAGCCGGGTGAGGTGGTTCAGACATCTGGTAGAAGCTGCTGCTTCTGTAACCGACTCTGGAACAAGCAGAAGATGATGGCTGGGTGGACGTTATTTAAATTAATCTTTTATTAAAATGAATTTAAAATGACTTTAACCGTTTTAACAAACCGTAGTTTATTGCATGAGTTAAGACCAACAAGTTCAAGATCTTTGCCAATAACTGGAGTCAACATCTCATCTTGTGATGTATGAGACCACGCATCACGCTACTTATGAGGTCATAAACCTGCTTATTGATAAATACGTTGATGAGACCCTGTTGTTGTAAAATCTCCACTTCTTTTACTTGTAAAACGTTCTAATGTTATTAAAAGTGAGGTTTTATTTTCCCCCTCTTCATACAGTACTCTGTTAAGCGATGAGGATAATAAAACAATCTATGGAAAGTGCAACAATCCCAACGGTCATGGACACAACTACAAAGGTTTGTTGTGTAAAAAACACCATGTTGGCTGCTGTGCTGCTTTCCTATTCATTTAGTCTTGTTTGTCTCCACAGTGGAGGTCACCGTGCGTGGAAAGGTACATTTTACACATTACTATGCAAAATATAAGGAATACAAGTTAACCTTGAATATTGCATCATGTGTTCTCAGATCGATCCCATAACCGGCATGGTCATGAACATCACCGAGTTAAAGAAGTGTATTGAGGTAAATCACCTCAACTTTCTCTCATAATTTTCACATTTGATCTTTTTCTTATTTATACAACCCTGAAACCTGCAAAAATAAAGTTGTTCAAGCTAAAAACGATTGCATCAGTTTAAGCCTCATGCAAATGCCTGCTGTTCAAACAGTCAATATATTAAATACAGGTTTAACATAAATGCAGATTTTATTGTCCTCCGAAAGACATATTGGCAGCGTCATGACTAAATAAACAAATACTGTGTGTCTGTTAGACCACATCCATATATTTAGAGGAATGTGTGCTTCCCCTCTTCGTCCATGTTGAATATGACCCATAATGCAACAGTCCTGAACATAAGTCAACAATGACACGTTACACTGCACCTTAAAGAAAACTTACAAGTTGTGACAACATTTCACAATTTAAACTCTCATAAATTCTTTTGAACTCTGCAGCTTATGATGTTGTGGCAAATCACAGTTTACATGGAAATTTTTTAAAAAACTTTTAAATAATAAAAAAAAAGATTCATATAAATGAAGGCGTACACAGAACCAGCCTTTGCAGCAGCTCCATGCTGGAGGTTTTGTCCATCGTTCATATCAAACTTGGACTTCTTCAAGTTAGACGGTGCCCCTTGGGTCCAGCAGTCATTCAAACCAGGGATCCTCAATCGGACTGAAGCTGGGCTTTGACTGGACCATTCCAGGACCATTAACTGGTTCTCCTTAATTCCTTTTCTTTTCAAGCATTGCCTTTTTTTTCCATGAAGCTCGGCTCCGTGCAGCTTATGGTGGTCCTTTGAGCAGATGCTTGGACCTCGGCTGTCCAGTTCCATGAAGGATGCTTTGGACCTCCTCAGTCCTTCTTGGCATGTGGTGGCGTCACTGATCCACTTTCTTCAGTGGATTCCTGATGCAGCATGGGGTGTTCAGGGTTTACGTTTTTTTTTTTACTAATCCAACCATAAGGTCACTTGACACTTAGACGCCCTCTCACTGAATAATTATATGATTCCTGAAGGTAATTGTTGAGTCTTCAAAGCAAAGGGGTGAATATTTATGCACATTACACTTTTCAGTTTGATATAATAAGAAAAATAAAAAGCACATTTTTCTTGTTTAGCTTCAGTTGCTGAAGCATTTTGTGTGGGTTCATCAAAAATCAACATGAATGACAAAAAAAAAAAATACCACGGGACAGTGAATAAATACGTCACCACCCCAAACAATACTGATTTATTATAGTTTTTATACATGAATTTGGACAACAAATACATGTAAAAGTCAGTTACTGCAAATGTACTTGTGTTAAAATACTACAGTGTTGTATGTGTGTACTTTTACACATGCATGTAAATTGTTAGTGTTGACCAATAAGTTTAATTCTAAGTGGAGTTAAATTCTTCCAGCATAGGTAAGAAGCTCTGGCAGACATTCTGTAGTGAAACGGAGGGAATATCTGAATAGTTGGTCTAGAACAGGTTTGTTTAGGGAAAAACAACAACTTTGGGTTTGACTCCGTAGCTTTCAGGTGACAGGAGGTGACACTGAACTGGAGACGTACTTTTTACACAAGGAGACGGAATCCATCATCCATTATCTTTATCCATTTCTTCCTTTTCGGGTCACGGGGGTCACTGGTGTCCATATCCAGCTATCACTGTGTGAGAGGCGGGGGACACCTGGACAGGTCTCCAGTCCATCACAGGGACACATAGAAAATAACAAGACAAACAGCCATTCAACTAGGAACAATTTAGAGTTACCAATCAGTCTATGCATGTTTTAGGTCTGGGGGAGGAAACTGAAGTACACGGAGAAAAGCCACGCATGCACAGAGAGAACATGCAAACTCCACCCAGAAAAGCCCCCAGATCGGGATTTGAACCAGGACAACCTGCTTGCTGAGAGGCAGGAAGAAGCTCTACCAACTGCACCACCGTGCTGCCCATCATCCATCCATCTATTCATTCTTTCATTAGCTTTACCCGCTTCTTTTCTTCCTGGGGGACACCCTGGACAGGTCTCCAGTCCATCACAGGGACAGGTCTCCAGTCCATCACAG